CTCTCTCTCTCTCTCTCTCTCTCTCTCTCTCTCTCTCTCTCTATCTATCTATCTATCTATCTATCTATCTATCTTAGCGCAGCACTCTGGCTTCAGCGCTCTGCCCTCACATCAGCGCACAAGTGCACCAGCACTTTCACACTACTTGGGAATGCGCAATCTCCAAGTATTATGCTACGAATTTCTTCACTGTTTGGAAAATATAGTCATGGACATCTGTTTTTTCAAACAGCAGTCCTTGTGTTACTCTGTGGTCCGGTACTTCGTGAGGTGCTGTCTGCACCTTGGCAATCAACTGGCTATAGACTGGATCTCTTGTGTAGGCAGACTTAATCTTTTCTTGTAATTCAGTGCTTACATCTAAGTATATGAATGGCTACGGAAAACTTCCTTGAAAGGCAAACAATGTGAATGCCTTGTTCGAGCTTGTTGGCAATTTTTTTTAGCGACGGTTATAGTCTTTCCCTTGCTGGAACCCATAGTCTTTCCAAGTTCAAAAAACAGACGTAGAAAGAGGTTACAAAATGGCATCCCTTGTTCAGGCCTATTCGCAAATGGTGAGAATTCTTCCCCCAAATCTATTTACCTCTTCTCTCACTCCCTAATTATTCAACCTGAGAAGTTGCGATTCTGCAAGAGGTGCGCACTGAGCGATCTTATGCTAAACAGAAGACCAAGAAGAACAAGGCAACAACAAAAAAGGAGAAACGAAGGCAGCAAAGCAGCATCTAACCAAGAAGAAGAAGAAGAAGAAGAAGAAGAAGAAGAAGAAGAAGAGAGCAGAAGAGAGCAGAAGAAGAAGAAGAGAGCAGAAGAAGAGAGCAGAAGAAGAAGAAGAAGAAGAAGAAGAAGAAGAAGAAGAAGAAGAAGAAGAAGAGAGCAGAAGAGAGCAGAAGAGAGCAGAAGAGAGCAGAAGAGAGCAGAAGAAGAAGAAGAAGAAGAAGAGAGCAGAAGGCGAAGACGAAGACGAAGAAGAAGAAGAAGAAGAAGAAGAAGAAGAAGAAGAAGAAGAAGAAGAAGAAGAAGAAGAAGGAGAAGAAGAGAGCAGAAGGCGGAGACAATGAAGAACAAGAGCAACGAAGAAGAAGAAGAAGAGGCGGAGGAGGGAGAAGAGGGAGAAGAGGAGAGGAAGATTAAGGAGGAGGAAGGAGAAGAAGAAGAAGAAGAAGAAGAAGAAGAAGAAGAAGAAGAAGAAGAAGAAGAGACGAGGGAGACGGAGAAGAAGAAGAAGAAGTGAGTCAACAGAGTATGGGAGTGAACCTACCCTTGTGCATACTCCTCTGGGGACCGCACATCCACCACAAAAGGCTTATCATCGCTGCTTAAGGCAGCCTTCAACTCACTGACAGTCATTGTTTTCACTGTTGTGGTAACTGAAAGCCACACAAAGAAGAAACAGAGAAGTGGGACCTAAGCAATTCAACCATTTGTGAAAGAAGCGTGCCCAGATTTCAAGAACATTCTACACAAACCTCTCTCTCTCTCTCTCTCTCTCTCTCTCTCTCTCTCTCTCTCTCTCTCTCTCTCTCTCTCTCTCTCTCTCTCTCTCTC